TGTCGAGTGATTAGAAGCCCACTCGAGTTAGACGGGAATGGTGTGACCGAACAGCTGACGTCAAAGACACACCTCGTGTTCAACACCTAACGTGGATTACCCTTTCGTTATATCAAGATACTATGGCTGTTTTGAAGACCGTATAACACAAAGGGCGTTACTACAGAAATAATTAGTAAGAGTAGGTAAAATAAGAGATTGCGACCACCGCTTTATGGACCAGTCTATTGCGTGCGATTGGTTGGTGCGCGTTGATTTTCCTTGAACGTGATGGGGATCGTTGAACTGTTCGACATTCAGTGACCCGACTGCCGGATGGTTTGTCTAAGACCCAGTGACATTGAACTGGCCTTGCAAATCTTTATCAGCAGTAGCTTCGGCTTGATGTTGTTGGTTACTGTCTTAGCTAATACATTTATCAACCAACAGTGATGCTTGGGATGCGCTTCTGAAACTTATTCTTTAGTTCAGAAGACCAAGTAAATCAACGATTTCACTAAGCGCTAATATGTGGCAAGTAATCACATACCAAATCTGCTGGTCAAGTAAAATTTCAAGGAGGATCTACAAGCAGTCGTTAATCGTGAACAGTACTGACACTTTTCACCAGTTTCTTTCTTTACCCTACCCTCACTCGCAAAGTGAAAGATTATATAAGTATGAACGAACAAGCATAGCAAATCCAATTCCTGATTGAATAAACGGACGTCAACATATTCATTGATACATTCCGGTAGAAATACAGGCAGAGCCCTATTTCCTTCAATTTTTCGAACAAATAGATCATATAATGAAATAGTAGCTAAACTAATGCACCGAATATTGCAGAGGTAGGGAGAACAATCCAGGTAACACTAGGGCTGTTAATTAGGAGGGATGAATTAATGTATACCCTTTTGTATTATGAGAATGATTAGAGGACCGTGTCCATATAATAAGGGATCAGTGTTGAATACAAATGAAAACGGTTTGAAATGATCAAAACTTGTAGCGGTTAGTTCAGATACTCGTCCACTTGCACAGTCGAAATTCAAACAAAGTGTTGGATAAGGAATGGCTCTAAGTAAACATTATTACCGACCTATTCAACTGATAACCGTTCAATAAATTCAAATGATTAAATCAGTGGCAAAAATAAACGTTCATATTGGAACATTAACATTAAAAGTTTTTTCTGGATAGATCACAAACGCTTTGTTCGAAAGGGAATATTTAACTTCGCTACAGCAATAATTGTATCCCGTTATGGAAACATGCTTCAATTCATAGTAAAAACCTATAAAGTGTTATCCATTTCAAGCAATACAATGAAAAATGAAAACAAACCAATATGGCAGCAACGATATTCGGAACATCAAATCAAGCAATCTAGATGTAGCTCGTTAGCAGGAAAAATGCAACCGTCTCACTCAGAATCTAAGATTAACCAAATGTACAACTGAAGGGACCAAGAAGAAGAAATTCTTACCGAAAAAAATTGCAAGTTACAGTACAAAAGTGTGTATGTAGAAGCGTCTTTATACACACACAAACCTTAAAAATGATCGTAATTCGGTGGTACTATATCCGAGTTCCAGGGGGAAGATAGGAATTGTCCTAGCTGTGACAGACCTGTGGCGCTGCTTTTGATTCTGTAGAAAGTTAATACAGGTCCGAGTTAAGGAGTATATTAACGTCCATAAAGTCATTAATGAGGCGCAACACGGACTCGGAAAATGCATTTCTCGAACCGAAAATAAACTCTTCAATGTGGAACGAATGTGCGGAGTGATGGGATCATAAAGTTGCTGTGGATCTGCTATTTCTATATTTTGACACAAAGAATTATAATGTGCTAGACTCTTTTCTTTTAGCTAAAGCCAGGCTTTTTTACGAGGGAACTTAATGTCGAGCTTAACTTCTTCACTTAAATTGACAGGATGAGATCAAACAGGACATAGACTACATAAGAGATTTGACAATGTTCTACACAGGGCACTCCGTCATTATTATTACTCATAAATATCGTTCAATTAAACGTTAGCTTTTATCCACACAGAAAATATGAAACCGTGGTAAGTGATTAAAATTGAAACTAAACATTCGACATACAAACCTTGAAATTAAATATCATGAGGCAACGCACGACGAGGAGCGCAACATTCGCCGTGTCGGCTTAAAATGGAACGCTTTTCCGGGAAGACGTGATCACCCCCCCTCAGTGAACAGCTTTGAGAGGCTCGAGAAACACGTGATAAAACCCCGCCTAACGTTCCCCGGGTCAACTATCTGATGCGTATCTCGTAATTTGTCATTACTACCACTATTATTCTTACTAGCCGATTTTTGTTCACCTTTCCCTATCTTTTATCCTTATACGTCTACCTGATCAGATATTTTGTGCCAGATATTCTTTTCCTCACTCTTTCAGTTATCTTCTCTTTGTCCCGATTTTACAGTCTTCCATACAGCAACTCATTGATCTCTTGTCTGGCAATATGATAGTTGCTGTCTCTAGCAATCTCCACGGTCCAGAATAGGTGCACTCATTTATAGCCAAGAAACATCCGTCACAAGTTTGCCATATTCACTAGAATTAATGCTGCAGGGGAACCTCTAACTGATGTACACTAATATTTATTAGATCGATTTAGTAATTTTAAGACCTGATTCAAAATGCTGAGAGTATTCGCTTTATGTAAACGGTTCATTCACAATATGAGATTAGACAGAAGACCGTTAATTCCTGGTAGATTGAGATTGGAAGAAATTTATAGTGTGAAGCAGGATATAATTATATTGGTTCAAACGATCTCATTTTTCACAGAGATGGAGACATTAAGGCAAATACAGCATTAAGACGAGCACGGCAATACATATGAATCACAAGAAAGACCAAGGAGAGTATGTGTATCTGTTTCGAATAAGGAAATGAAACTCCATCTAATGTCTGCTGGTAAGAAAATGGGAAGTAGCATTGCCCGTAGGAGTCCGACAAGTAATCTTTATCGCTTCGTAATATATAACGTCATTCAAGGAGTGGGACGTGCATGCCCTTCGAAATCAAACATCCGCTTATACTTCCTGGTAAACATTTTGATGGTAATGCATTATCCTTCCTAGAACGCGTATTCTGGTATCACTCACACCCTGAACAGTCTTCGCGAAGATTTCTGGGTCATCAAGCGGCTATTCGAATATTCCTGAAACAGTGCTACCTATGCAAGAGACTCAACAGTACGCCGTGCACGCAGATTATGTATCCACTAAGCGAACGTCTCTTGGAAGCACTCAATTCTGTTGTAGACTTTTTTAACGTTAAGAAGCAAGTGGTTGAAAAACGATACGGCCGTTTGTTTACTTGCCTACCTATTAAGGCAGTTCACATCAAAATATGGACGCTTTGGACACTGACTCATTTTTATGCGCTCTCGAGATTCGTTGCTCGGCCAGGTCACACGAAACATGTATTTAGCGACAACGGTTCGAACTTCAGAGGAGCCGACACGTCTTAAACAGATTGTGTGTAGTTGAGAACAGAATAAGATAGGAAACACCCTTTCGAAAAGAGGTTGTGAAAGGCAATTTAACCCTCCGAGAGCTAGTCATAGAGGTGGTATTTGGGAACGCATCATAAAGTCACTAAAAATGCTACGATCACTACTGTTTCAAGAGGTATTGACGGATGAATCTTTGGAGACGTTTTTAATAGCGGCTGAAGAAATACTGAGCAATTGACCACTCGCAAAGCCAATTAGTGACTGTGACAACCTGTGTGTACTTACGCCAAAGAAGTTATTGTTAGTTTACAGAGGTGTATCATTAGACGAACCTCAGATGAGTAAAACGTGCTTATATAACAGATGGGAGGAAGCGAAACGACTAGGCAACCTATTTTGGAACAGATGGTTACGTGAGTACCTACCAACCCTTCAGACGAGATCCAAATGGTTAGACATAAGGAATCTACAACCGGGAAACTTAGTGTTGGTAAACAATATTGGCTCACCGAGAAATCTGTGGCCGTAAGCTGTTGTTAGACAGGCCAATTATGGCCCAGATGGACGAGTCAGAACATTTCGAATGAAGACAGCAACCGAAGAGGTCAGCCGGGCTCCACGGGACCTGTGCCAACTGGGAGAGGCCGATTATTTGAGTGACGGTAACGAAGCATGGACGTGGTGCAGTTCAGAGGGAATGTTAGTTATGTCTACAACTAACCAATCAATTCGTCGTATAGACGCCCACCGAGTTCATCTGGTCTGATGTGTCTGCAAACTATCCCTGCTGCATGTAGCCTACCAATTGAAAGACATTACCATCCTATTATATTAGTGTTACTCATAATTTTATTCATTTCGAGAAGACACGCAATACTGGTCGGTATGTTTGTGCGTTTCACTTAATAACCGTAATTTCCTTAATTATTGTGCTAAACTAATTGTTTTCACGTTTAGAAACAGATAAAGTTTAAAGCCAAGCTGTCCTTGTTCTGACCATAGCTTTCACATAGACTCTGTAATCACCAGTATCACGTTTACGGTTCTAGTAGTATATCTGTAGGACAAATTAAATCCTACATGTGTTTGGTGCCCCCTTGTACCAATATTTATGTGGTCAAATAAGTAAATAAGATTTGAATGTGTCGACCGAATTATGAAAAACAAGTCACTAAAAGTGATTTCTATCTGATGATATTATTATTGAAAATGTACAACTATGTATGATGACATTATGAAAACGTTAACGACTGACTGCTGATAAATGATGTATATTAGTCAAATATGTAAAGGTTTTACTACTTTAACTGCAACAAATCAACCATACGTGACTCTATTAAGGGTTTCTATTATTCTAGGTGCAATGTCTTAAGTCTGAACAATTAAGAGTTACAGAAATATATTACAAGTTTTTTTTGTAACAAATTAACAATCGTAAACTAGAAATAAACAAAAATAAGTGTAAAAATGTATGTACAAGCAAAATGTAAGTTACATGTAATCAATCCTATAAAGTGTCTTTCATACTGTACAATTAATGAGCAATTCTTTCAAAATTGATGAACATAGATTATGACCTAAAGTAAAAAGATTATTTAACCTCGAATATTCTTGACATACCAATAAATATTAATCTTGTTCCGTTTAGGTTAAGCAATTCAGCTCTTTCATTAGGTATTTGGGAAAGATCATAAATTTCGTTCAATCCTTGTAGACTGTAAGTACAATCATCATCTATGAAGCGAATAAATCCCTTTCAAAGAGGAGAAGACTCATTATGAACATTGAGAACGACTTTGTCAACTAATAAAATTATATTAACATACACTATGAAAAACATTTTTAAACTATCACTTCCTTAACGACTAAGATGTCCCCTTAACTTTTTAAATAGAAAAGAGAAGTATAGTTTTGACGATGATAGTTGCACAAAAGTAAGGCGTCGAGTGTATATATTACATAAAACACGTTACAAACCAAATTTTATTTGTAAGGATCCCAGAGATTGATGGAAAGTAAATGTGGCGTCCCACTCACTAGTTCGGTCTAAAAAAAATTTATGTAGTAAATCAAAACTCTCAAATATATTTAAGATCTCAAAACAACCATGCACTAGACAATTATCGGACCATATTAAAATGTTGAATATGCTTATTCGAGTAGTTTGATGTTAAATATTTTAAAGCTGTAGTACATGAATGTAGATTTTATTAGGATAAGGTATCCATAGGCTATGATCGGGATAAAATTAGTTATTCTGATAAAAATCTGAAAGTCGGACTTCTCAAACTATTTACAGAATTAGTGATAAACACCTAACTGTACAGATGCTGTGTTATTACTTTGATAGAAAGGGTGTCAAATGCAAATGTAAACATAATAATTACCTGAACAATTGAATGTACATTCTTGTTGATGTCCAGAATGCATAATTTATAAACTATGAATGTAACGGTAGTGGATAAACTTTTATTTCCATTTATTAGCTATTAGTTGTCATTGTTTCGATACGTATACACAATCCAGCCTACAAGAACTATTATAGGGTTGAGACATTAAAGAGGAAGAATGTATTTGTAAAATCTCAGAGAAAGAATTCGAAATCAAACGATTCGCCTGGCAATATGGTCCAAGCTTTTTAAAAGAAAATATAATCAAATAACAAAATTATTGAATATAAATAGATACATGGTTCTCTGGTTTACTGTATACTGAATACGTCATCCAATCAACGTGAACAGTTTGAAGTAGGTATTTACATTAGTGTATAAGAGACATGTGGTGTGAAACGAAAATTGTTAAGATAACATATTGTGTGCTTCGTAGATGTTGGATTTACTTCGAATTCTTTCTCTGAGATTTTACAAATACATTCTTCCTCTTTGATGTCTCACATTAACTCGGCGCCCAAATATTGTGAAACTATTCGTTCAAATTTAGACACAAGTTCTTATTTATTATAGGGTTGGTTTATATGTATGTGGCTTCCACTATCAGTCATTGTTTATAAGACGAAAATCCTTCCTTGAAGTATTTTGGGTTTTTAAAATCATTTTTATCTCTAGTACCCACTGAATGTCATCCTATCCTAAGGTATTCTGAAGATTTAGGAATGCTTCAAGCATTGTTCTTTCACCCTCATCCTCACCTTTATACACGCCAATACAGTCAGTATATTTGATTTCGTAATTACATTTTGTCTCCCCTACATTCAGTATTGCACACTTAACTTTCATTGATACAGAGGGCAGAATAATAGTGGACACATTCCTACTATAGTGGTAGATCCTAAGTCACATACGACATTAAATAACTCATTCTTATAACGAGAAACCTTCACTATTTAAAATGATTAATAGTAATTATGAAGAGAGCATTACCTTTAAGCGTAGAACATTCATTGGATTTCCGCTCTCATCGTGAACACTGTGCTCCCAAAGCATTGACTCTATAACATTTTCAAACAATTTACGACTGAATGGACGAGAAAACTCAAAGGTCAGCGTTGATATTCGCTGAAAATACGACACATTAAACGCTTTTGATTAAACATACTCTATTCAAATGAATTGATACCGATTTGGAAGACGGAACAAAAGCTTCCAGTTTAGGACTGCATTAAAAAAAATCATAACAATACGAAACTTAAATTAAAAACGACCATAACAATATGGTTTTTAAATATGAGGAAGCCGTTTCTAGTCGAAACCAAAGTATACACACCATCAAAAAGTGAATGATATTTTGAAACAATATCAAGTTGATATGATAATACCGCAAGAGCTTAAGGATTGAAGCTATGTAAAGAACGTTATCATATTATTAATGAGTTGGTATGCATATAATTACTGGTTTCGATTGACATTTACATCCTTTCAGTTGAACATCAAATATTGACGTAGGTTCTAATCTTATCCACAGCATCACTTTATACTAATAATGAGAATAAAGTGAAATTTAGGGGTCATGATATATCAGTTACATAGATACCTGGTTAGTCAATTTATGCTTTCAGCATCTAAAAGTGTGGTTCATTTAGCAAACTTTGACGCATTTGGCAATATCTCACTGTTTTGAGGTTCACACGATTAGTTGTGCAACACAAATACCAGATTTCACCAATGACCATTAAAAAAACGCAGTACATAATCACACTTAATATTGAATATGTCTCAGTAACCAAATGTAAAACAAAGTGACTTGATGCTCGATTATGAAGACATCGGACTTTAACCCACTTAGTTCAATTAAAAATCTGGAAATCTTAGACTAACTTAGTACCTCAAATTAATGAACAATTCTCTAAAATGAGACTCAAGTAAAGTAGTTATTTGCTCATTCCTAAACTTCAATAGTATCCTCACATAAATCAAAATGCATTTTATAATTATGAATACTTATGACAAGTTTCTACGACAGATAATCTGTTAGTCATGTACAGATAAAAACTTTTGGTAATAAAATTTTTTGCTGTATTATTTTAACTAGAGTGTTAAATGATAATGGTTAGTCGCTCAGCATTATAGGGTGTTTAGTGACCCCAACTAACTATACGCGATATGGTAAAAATTATAAATTTCTTTTAATTTGGATGTACCGTCTGTTTTATTTTCGAGTTAGAAAATGTGTACTTCACAGTCCTTGTGACTCAAGTATGGCAAAGAAGCCCTCGATGTGTATATTACTCCAAAATGCGTGCACCGCTGTGGTTAACATATGGTCAGCGCCGTGTCTTAAATAGAACACAAGATTCAGAAGTACGGTGTATTGTATGCAGAACATAACACGGAAATCAAATGGTGGACCTGACACGTGATAAGTTGTATGTACATGAACAAAACATATTGAATACAAATACAACAACGTATGCAGTATCACAATAACTACAGTACGTCTAGTATTTTGTCGAGATAATAAAAATTAATTTTTTCCCTCATTATACTACTCAGCCAATACCAGTTACGTAGAGCTTCAGAAATAACAAAACAGAGAAGGAAGCGCACACAACACAGTATCTTAAAATCTCACATATGTAAATCAATAATCATGTTCAAACTACAATCGAAGAAATCAGAGATGAAACATCTAACCAAACACACATTAAACCAACCTGTTAGAATACATCTGAAGATCGAGAATTTCTTCCAAATTCACCCTACAAGTAAATGAATTAAAAACTCAGATTCTAACTTCAGAATGAATTCTAGAAGAAGAATATTTGAAGAGATGCTATCTTTCGAACATTCAATCTGTTAAAAATCAAAAATGTGATTGTTCAATCTCATTGAGTATCTGGCACTGACGCACAAAATGATAAATAAAACATTCTAAAACAAAAGAAACAAAACTCTAATAGGCGCTGACAAAGTCAATTTGTTAGTCAAAACAATACTTAACACTATGATATGATAGTATCAGTAAAGAGAGTTTACATTCTTAGACATTTAGAATACTTCAACTAACTTTGCATTATCTATCAGACAGTGTGAGCACTTCAAAAAATAACAAAAGCAATTGCTGTCGATACTCAGAGGATTAGATTTACTACGTTCAAAATATTCTTAGAGAAATCAACCATCAATATTTGCATTTTCAATATCACTGATGTGAACGTGGAACTAAGTCCAAAATTTAGGAAATTATGTGCACAACAATTCTAAGGAAACGGTAAATATATAGACAGAACGACAGCTAAGAGTCCATCATTCCTCAAATAATTTATCATCCTCCTAACAGTTATATAATCATTTCGAGAATCAACGACAGGTTCTAATTGAATTTGTTCTTTTTTTTATTGTCTCGTTGTTGATATTCCGAATGTTATTTCATCAGTTCTGTTTGGCATATATGCACCCTATGCGAATTGCCTCGAAACAGTTATTTTGACACACGTTTACATGGAATAGATGGATGTGGCTAGTAATGGGATCCAAGTCATTACAAATGAGACTAAAATTTATATCCGTTGTACAAGCGAGTGGCTAACTGGACACAATAGTTAGCTAGATAAAGCGTTAGCATTTGAAATGAAAGATACAAAGGTTGGAGTCCTAGGATGGACATTAACTCTGGGATGCAGGTAGATTCAACTGACGAGTACCGAATAGAACGACACCCTCGTCCCGCATACCACCAGTAGCCACATTCGATCCCTTCTCTATGAAACACAGATTCCGTTAAAATCCCTCTTAGACTACGTCATAGATTAAACAAAAGTTTTAGCAAGATAAAGCTCTGACTATTTTATGCTTACGTACGGATCGAATCAAGACAGATTGGTTGGTATATTTTCCATCAATCACCACTGGTAGAGAGCTTGAGAAGATACTACAAGATTCCTGTGTAAATTTCTAGATAAACTCCATTTTGTTTGCACCCGATTCTGGGACTGATTTAGAAATAATCGAAGGGAAATAATACACTGTTGCTAAGATTTTCAGTTGTGGAATGGTAGCTTAATGGTTCAAGTACTCACCATTCAACCAATAAGTTGCAAGTTTGACCTTTGCTCCACCTATTTCGCTTTAGGTAGCCGGGTAATATCATGAGCCCTGACGCAATTTGGATTAAAGCTGAGTAGGCAAACGAGCTACATAAAAGGCTTTTGACTACCATTTTTTTCAATTAAACAAATTATGCTATTAAAAAGCACTTTCGTCAAACTTTTAACTATGTTCCATTTTTTCATCAATATATTACTAATCGAAATAATATAAAAAATCAGAAAAGCAAATCAGCACCGACTATCCTGAGGATAGTCTTTAAAAATTACTTATAAAGTGCATAGGTAAAGTTCATTTAGATTTCAACATTCATTATAAGCAAATTGATGACGTAGATATGGGTTTACATTTAGACCTAACTTTCACCGATTTTTTCCTAGCCAATTTAGAAGACGAAATCTTTCAGGAGGTTACTGAGGAAAACGATTTATACTTTGGTATGGCCGAGGATGAGGAGAGTCCACTCTCCCTTTCGAAATGTTCACACATGGCCACGCATATTCAGTCAGTGCCTGCATTCTACGGTATTACTGTTGTTTACGAAGTTTGGAGGACGAAAAGGGGATGTTCGGCGCTTTAAGCGAAGTGTGGTACATATATATTTGGTGCCTCCTAGTACCAATGTTTGTGCCTAAATAAATGGAAAATATTCTTACATAGATGATAAACTCATTACTACCGATAAGAGTAAGAATGGAGAAGAGCTCTTAAACCATAACGAAGGAATAATAGTTCACGATAACATGGGAAAAAGACGTTAAGGATATGGACAGCTTATGAGAAACCTCTGTACTTAAAATTATAATTCAACGGCGAGGTAGCTAGCGATATTCTATATGATAAACTAGTAAGGAAGATTAGAAGGATATTATACAGCGCTAGAGTCTTAGTTTTCCTTTTTCTAGTGTACTAATCGCGTCTATCTAAATAAGGATAAGCCAACTAATTTTGCTTTTTTGATGTATAACCAATTTACCTAATTCCGTGGATAAAACCATGTCGAGCGTACCATCAGGCCACTTAACCAACAGATGAGTGGTCAGCTCTTAATGTGGTTCGGGAAGAGCCAAATGAAAACAAGACGTGGCTCAATCTTATTACAATTGGTTGACAGTAGTTACGCAGTAAGCAACACTAAACAGTCACGACTAACCCACAATCCACCTTTGCAGTTTCTCAACGAGGTTAGGTTTCGTCTACTATATATAGCAGGAGCAGGGTTCGAGTCCACAATTGTAGTTTACTTATTCGGAAGTGTCATTTCCTTAGCCTGGTAAGACTTTATAGACGACCGTATAAGCTTTTCACATTCATTGCTTGTTTGATTTTCTACAACCTCGTCAATAAATCACTATCTATATATTTGTGTACTTACCACTGTAATTTTAAGAACTGTTAATAATTGTTAATTTTATGTTTATTTTTTTCGAATCTTGACCTATTTCCTGTGTTGAAGCATTCAGCTGATTTCTATGTAACAAATTTAGAGAATGAAATCATCGAAGTTACGGAGAAACTAGATTGATACTATACTGTTCTAAAATGCTGATCAGTCGACTATCCAGAAAAAAAGCTTCCAACATATTAAATCCTGTATACCAGCTAACTACGCTCATATGATTTTGAGATGGTAAAGAAGATTTGTAGCTCATGTGGGTGATTTCTATAGAGCTTTGTTCCCTGAGCTGGATGGTTTGGTCGTGAAGTTTTCATCGTTCTTCTGAACGACATTAATACGAACTTCAGGTAGAAGTGAAGTGTTCGAATTTCTCCACATGAGGTTCACAGCCTGTCCTGTGCACCTCGATGTTGATTGGTTCTCGTTGGCCTTAAACTTGTGATTGCTTACTTCTTTGTTTTCGTTGCATCTCCCATTGGTTTGATTTTTGTCCTTAAGGACAGCTAACTACGTTTTACCAGTCAAAACTTTTAGTACAATTCAAACTAGGAAGGTAAGTAATTTAATGGTAACTGTAACTCCGAGAGAAATATCCTAGCTTCCATCTTCATTCCCATTAATTCTACTCACAACTATTTGATAATGTTTGTTCTTACCTTATGTCATTTGTCTATTCCCTTTGAATCACATTATGTATATTCTTTTATTTTTCTACTCATACAGAAACCCGCTTATGGTGGAAATCTATCACTATTTAAATGATTTCAAGTCGCCGACTGATCAAAGTTGGATGCTATCACCGAATACGAATTCTGAACCAGCCTTTCTGAAACCACGTATGCTATTCAAACTGGCTCCGTTCAACGTTAGTACACTAATGCAGATAGGACAACAGAGTGTTGTTCATGTCTTTAAAAAGTCTCAACATTGATGCCTGCTACTTATCCGAAAATTATATTCAAGACTCTAGTGAACTACTACCTATTCAGTCTCCACCTATCACTGCCAAAAACTTGTTTAACATGGTTCTGTCCAAAAACTGTGGCATCTTCGTTTGATTCTTCAAGAGTGTGTCTCACTAAGCACTAGAGTAGAACCAACACTAATCGACTGGATCCCGACTAACAGTCAATTATGCGCTGTCAGATTAAGAACTCCATCAAATTAAGAAATAGACGATGAACAAAGCCTTTACGTCGTTTTGAGTACTTGGATGATTTTGTCTTAATGTGTGACGATACCTTAGCCATACAATCCGCACTTAGCCAGTTGGCAGTCAGTGTCCGTAATTATGGCATGTGCTTTGCACCAATCAAGTGCATAGTACTTTAACAAGATTGGCAAAACCCTGAACTTGAACTCACTCTAGGTAGTAAGCGGATAGAAGTAGTCGAGCAGTTCGTGTATCCGGTAGCTGCGTATATACTGGTGATGGTGTGAGTGATGAGATCAATTCACGTACAGTGAAAGCCAGAGCGAGTTATGCCAATCTAGACCATCTTTGACGCCTTCGTGATGTTAGTTTGGTTGTAAACGGTTGGAGTTACAACGCGTCGGTGAGAGCAGTTCTTCCTTATATTTGTAAGACCTGACCCCTCCTAGTTGATGATGTTAGACGACTCTTTGTGTTTGATCATCGTTGTCTCCGAAGGATTGCCAACATTCAGTGGCAACACCATGTTGGTAATGCAGAGGTTCGGTGTCGTGTGTTTGAGTACAGAAACTATATTTCAATTAGTGTTGCCATCTTGAAACACCGACTTCGGTGGCTCGGGCACGTCTTACGAATGTCGATGCTGGGACTGGTTGAAAAAAATGAAGAGGTGGTCAGTGTATGACATGGTGTTGTGGTATGAATTAATGCTGCATGGGACTGGCATCTGTCGATCCCTCGTGATTGTCTGGTTGGGGTCTCATAGATGGTGTAACACAGTAGCTAGATGTTATCAGATGTGCACCAGAATAGAAGCCAGTGGCGATCCTTCTGTAACTTCCTTTTACTCTCTTTATAAAAGTGAACATAACTTCTTTGACTGAAATTATATTTTTGGTTGCATTTCGCTTGGCCGAACTGCTTCTCCGATTATTATTATTAAACTGTCACATACTAATTTCTTTTCGTTGTTGTTCTTTTCATTACACGTTCTTTACATTCTCTATCTCTTCACAACCTCGTTTTCAGTGTGGGGTATATATATATATATATATATATATATATATATATATATATATATATATATATGGTGTCCCCTTATACCAATATTTATGTGTCTAAATATATAAGCAAATAAAGGAGTTTATTTAATTTTCGTTAGATCTTAATCCTATGGAAGCCAACTCTAACAAAAGAGCAAATTACTTCATGCAACATCACCACCTAAAACAGATTGCAGTAAGTTGAAAACTATTGAAAATGATTGTTTATTCAGGTAATCGTTTAAAAACGAGACTTACTTGCAATAATTAGTTTCAATGAGCCTAGCAGAATTATTGATATCTCTATGGTAAACGAAAATATGAAAACAAAAGTCTTTAGAAACAAAAATGATATGGAGCTGAACAAAATGCTAAGACCAGTTTTATGGTGGTTATAGGTAACCAACGAAATGAGTGAACCAAGATATTGAGTGAGTGGTTGACATAAACTCGCAAGCATCAAGAACGACAGAAAACGATAGCAGCTACCAATAGGCGACTAATTAGTGTGGATTTTAGCCCCATGACATCTACGAGCAGTAACATGTGCTTCCAATCTCAATGACATTGTAATACTTCAAAATACTTCTAACTCGCTGTATGGCGCTGAGATACCATACCGAAGTAAATTCGTATAATTATGGACGTCGTTCGTATCTTTAGCGAGAGGGATGAGAAGCCAGTTTTCTGCATTGGTGACCGATCTGAGCACAGCAAAAACCAGAGTGCCTTATGCCACTCTAAGCTACATTTGGTCCCGGTGTATCCTTGATTTGACTGTAAAGTCAGGTATATAACTGGTTGACGAGAGCAGAACGTGCGAAACCTACCGCCCTCAAACTGAGGATGCTGTCGAATTTATGTTTAGCCGATTTTACTTCAGGAAAACTGCTCACGTCCGATGTCAACAACTTTCATGTAATGCCGGAGTCTGGTAATGTGTATTTGCTCACACTGAACATAATTAGTATCACCATATTGACAAGCCTACTTCCGTGGCTTATACATATTTTACGAATATTAAACCAACTTAAACAAGGTGTATTGCCTCCCTGAGACTGTAATTGGCGGAGAGTGGAGCACAGAAGTGGTCTGTTTATTACATGGTAGTATGATATGAGCGGCAGATGTATAGCACTGGCATGTATTGATTTGTGGCGACTCCTTGGTTTGCATTTGAGATCACACAACACTGTGGCTTGAAACACTATCAGATATGGATCGAAACACAAACTAGTTGTGAGCTCATGGTAGTGTTCTATAACATTCATCATAAACGTAAAAATAACTTTCTTGAGCTGATGAAATTAATCATCATTGTATTTTTGACTGAACTGTATCTGCAAATAAATATTACTCTTCTTTACTCATTGAATTTCTATGTGACCACCTTCTACTTCTTTATTATACTCCCATTCTATCTTGTATGAGACTGTCTATTAACGTCTAGTTGTATGGATGTTTTTAGTACGATACATTAAATGTTGAAAACATTAGTTGTAATTATAATACCGTGTAAATGTAATGCACTATGGGTTGTGTTACCGGAATTTTTAAAATAGAATTGGAAGCGTGGAAAATGAAATTGTTTAGAGACCCGTAAACAGCTTCAGTAATAGACACGCACGTACTACTTAATGACCTGGAAAACTGTATGAGTGGACCATCAAAAAGTGACTTACCTAATACGCTGAACCACTTCTGATTTTTCTGAATCAGAAATCAAGTCAGTTTTGTTGACAATGAGTACATCAGCCAAAAGTACCTGTCTGGAATAAAAATAAGTGTCAAATATATTTAAGAACCTTTCATATTCACTCATCTCATCCCCAGTAGACTTCATAAGATGTGGTAAACAGTATTTTGAATCCAAAACTGTTACAATTCCATCGAGGCAAATTTGACTACATAAATCTTCGTCTAACCAGAAGAGTGATGCAACAGGACCTGGATAATTGGGAAGATCACCTTTTAAGAACACAAATAACCTGGATCAGCAAGTCCAGATGTCTCAATTAGAATATAATCAAATTTTCCCTTCCGCTTCATTAAATTTTCAATGGCTCGTACACTTGCATCTTTTAAAGAACAGCATAAACAACCGTTACGCAATTCTATCCATTCTTCAAAGAGGTTACCATCTTTTTCACTCCACGCAATACTAGACTCTACAGCTGAACCTTCTCCAAAATCATTTAAAAGAACAGCAATCTTTTTGTTATGAGCATAGGTTAGAATATAATTCAAAAGAGTAGTTTTTCCAGCACCTAAAATCAATTTGATAAATGTATTGTAGCTATCAATACAACGTCAAAACGCAAATTATCGACAATGACGAAATATACGTTCGAAAATACAGTAGATACAAGTTGGTTGGTGTCCATTTACTTTTGAAGTCTGTCCTTTGGTGGACCAGGAGTGTATTAAAGTAGATTAACTTTAACTAATTAGTTGCTTGATCAAGATGTGTGAACAGCTTGCACAGCGGTATACTCTATGCACATTAACACCATAGATTTAGCGAACATAAAAACTAGTGGTTAAAAAGTACTTGCATTTAGTAGAATCCCTTTCTATAAAGACATGAAGGTAAACGATATTTTACGGCAATAAAATCACAACGAACATTAGGAGCTATGTATCTTAAAATGTTGCACCGCATAGATGGTAAGAATGTAACTTTATATCAATGTATTCTGTGTCATTCAAATACTTAACACATTGACAAAATGCTTATTTCCAACTGCATCAATTGAACAGACTATCTATCAGTGTGGCGCAGATATATTTGGTGCCCCCTTGTACCAATATTTATGTGTTCAAGTAAATAAATAAATAAACAGACTATCAGATTAGGTATTTCTTGTCGCTTAATTTCAGGGTTTACTATATCTTAAAACGTCTTATTACAGTATTCACAATGATTAAATTGTATTCCGACATGCTAATTCCAATTACGTCGACATGTGAAATTGGGGTGAGCACCTAAATGCCTTTATCACTTACAATACAGATATCTGTACTATGATTTTACGTCTACATTCGAAAATCGATGAGACAAATTTGCGTTTATAATCTTCGAGAACAACACAAGAATGGTACGTTAAAAGACTATTAACCAAATAGCAGTAGCTGAAGAAAAAATTCGCCCAGAGAAATAAAGAATAATGCTCAAACGTCCGTTACTAACATGATGAACCATCACATCTAAAAACAATCCATAAAGCAGTATTCATGTCTAATTCAAGTGAGAAGACCGGAATCAGACTGAGTATGTTTAAGGATATGATGAACTGTAACAAAAGAAAATACCACTTATATGATTACCAAACTTAGATTTCTAGATGACTTCAAAAAGCGAAGTTCGGACAATATAAAATGAGAACTAACCAAGGTATCCTGACAGAATCGTCACAGGGACTTTGTCCAAAGTGGTTGAACTCAAATTCGTATCACGTACTAAGTCAGGAATAATGTCATCCATTAGTAAGGGTATTGTATTGAACCTTGTAGATACAACACAACTCTAATCAAGCCTTTGAATACTGATGATAATTTGAATATAGAGTGGCCTGGTACTTCTGAAAACAAAGAGGAACTATGTTAATACTAAATATGCAATGTTGAAGCAGGAAATCATTAAGACCAGATTCACAAAAGAAAGTAAACGTCATATACCATGATCAAAAATTAAAACTGTCCATTACATAAAGTCAACTCGGTATGTAGTCTCTCGACGGTTTCTCACGATTTTAAATTGGATGCTGAGCATAAGGTTGGCAACCTCACCTCGTGGAAAAACCTTTCTAAAAAGTGGTCAACCAGAAAATAACACTAAGATCGTTTAAACTCTGCCCTGGGAGTTGGAGGGTCTTTAAATAGAAGGGTTATGACGCCGTATGGTGTAAGCTGATACTTGTAAGTCAAGGACTTATGCTCCTTCTGACAACCACAACAATTAATATCGGTATTTGGAACATCTAAAAAATGTGGAGGACCAGAAGTATCATTCAAATAACACTGGGCATGAGAGGATACAACTTGGCAGTGCTTGGAATGCACGAAACTGATTAGAAAAAATTTGAGCAAAGATGAGTAACTTCGGTAAGTGTTAATATACATTTGTCATGAAGAATAAATTGACCTACGTCCAAAAGGAGCGATGTGTGTGTCGGAGTAGGATGTAAGGAAGCTAGGGGCGGCCAAACCAAAACATGGCATCAGCCCATGAAGTCATCAACCATTGGACTGGTACATGTTAATGAGCGTAGACTACCTGATCGGAATTCACGTAATTATTGTAACCAGTGGTTAGAGACTTTGAATGACATGGATTAAAATCGTTTGCAATGGCACAGATACAGCCCTTCTTCGTCTTTCCCAAAGATCTTAGCTACTGAATTTCTCATAAATTTTTCACTACACTAATTAGTATCTTCTTGAATCGTATCTTCTATGCCTAGCCTTTTCTATCACTACTAACACTGTTAATATCTTTATTATTATGGGAGTTGGTTTGACAATTCCATCTTTCCGTGCTAACGGGGTATGGAAACTTGAACCGACATACATACTGTTATAACCTTGAATCGCTTTTTACCCTGTCGATACCTTGTTATGACTTGACCTTGATCTGTCTAGTCTAGATTATGACCTTGGTGCGATAGGCTGAGCGACTTAACCTTGAGTCTGGTACGCGTGAGTTTGAGATGGGGTAGAGAGAGAACTATTTAGAACCTGATTGGTTGGCAAGCACGCAAGTGAGAGAAGACAAGAAAGTTGGAACACTGAACTGTGGATTCTCTGAATTCGGATTAGTGCAAAAATGTACATGAATAAATAAGTGAATATCCTGACCACAACGTACGATAATTTGGAAAAATACAATTATGCCCGAAACTGGGAATTAGGGTAGAAAATAAGATGCAAAATATTATGTTTAAATTACAATATTTTCGGAACAAAAAAGGGTATGGCAGTGAATGTTACATAGAACGAAAGCTCGTTATGTAGAATAAAATAGGGACAAAAATAAATATAAGTGTTTTACGAGGTTTGAATGAAATGAAATAACGTCCCAAGAAAATAGCCTTCGTAGTTGTCTGGGCTTCTTATTTCCCCGTTCACAACACATACGTACCAGGTTCTGTGTTGCGACTGATTAACTTATGGGTTAAATTAATAGTCAACAACTTACATTGGTGGACCAATTTACTCTTACTACTCTAAAATCTTTAAATAATTCGACGTAAATAATAACAGCTTGCTTAATACAAACTGCTTGTAACCTACGGTAATTCGATAATACAACCTAATTAGCGAATTTTCAGCGAGTTAGTTTTCTACGGAATGGGGTCGCTAACCCAACCCTCCTCCTTTATCCAGGCTCGGGGCCGGCAGAAGCCCCCGGAGGAACTCCAGGCGGAGTTGGTAATACAACCTAAATAATATTATTTATTTATTTGAACACATATACTGGTACGAAGGGACACCAAATGCATATGCGCCGCACAAGTCACTTGATTTATGTGCGGGCTATGATACTACCCGGGTGTCCAAACCGAAGTGGGTGGTTTTCTTAGGGAGCCACACCCAGAGCCTTCGATCTAAAGATCTGATCCACAAGGCAGTGGGCAACGCCAGGAGACGCAGTCCCATGGTAACTGATGGCCAACTTTTGGTTCACATGCCATTTTTTTCCTTCAGGATACTGAAGTCCATGTACACCATTGGTTAAGAATCAAGGTTTCCCAACTCCCCTAGGTGGACCCTCCGTATCCACCAACCTGGTTAAAGCACCGGACACTCACTTTTTCATTCTCGCAATTTCGTAAACAACACCCCCGCCACAAGAAAGCAGTCAGTAGGGCTTCACTGCATTGGTTATATACGCGTGCCCATGTGAGAGCATTTAGACAGGAAGAACTGACTTTCCACACCCTCGGCCATACCAGAACATTTGGGGTCACCTAAACAAAATAATCTGCTATCTCATCTAAGGTCCCAAGTATAAAATGGTTACAGTGTTTTGTAGTATCATTAGGACAAGTTGTTTCGGAGACATGGGCAGTTATATTTTTAAGACTTCATGACATCTGATATCACCTGTTGTGGTAAGATCCAGTGCTTTAAAATACACATTCCTAATATTATACCAACATACATTGGCTAGCAAGACAAGTCGTTCAAACTCTTGAAATCAGGCCTGAGGACGTTCTGCCTTTAAAACATACTTGACACTCTAAATCCAAGTATTCATAGTAAACCATGCATATAAACGCATCCTTAAAGGATAAAATCACACTCATTAAGTTGACAATTTGTGGGTAGTATTGTCGTATTTTTGCTCAAACACCTGATCAACGTGTTTGCCCATGGAACTGAAAACACATCAAGTCGATAAAAACAAAATTATTAAGATTAATTTTCATGTTTACATCGAAGTTGAAACAGAAATAAAATGGGTTTAAACGATGAACGACGATCACTACGTCGAAGAGACAACAGAAAGAATTGATTGTAGAAAAAATGTGGATAGTCTTGTTTTGTTGCCACAAATTACCATGGCTAAAAGATTGGGCAGTTTCGTCCCTAGCTTTGATATAAGTAACTGGTTCGTTAAAACGGAAAGAAAATTTGAATATATGAATACCTCCATAGAATATCACTGTAGTTTACTTTTTGACGTAAGAAAACCGTTAAGTTGGTTCTGAACATATAAACGGATTTCTTATTTTTTTCAAAGAATAAAACTTGATGACATGAACTTTTGGTCATATGGACAGAACTTCGATTCCCTAGAATGACAACCAACTGCTTTGGACAATTAAAGGTACCTTGTTATCAAGGCAAAAGACTAATAGTTACGTTTCTTATTCGTTTCACCTTAGTTCAAATCTGGAAACTATATCAATCATTCAGACAGGCGATGGATTAATGTGTACCAGATACTGACTGATTTGAAAGACCTGCATACTCAAAAGCGAAGCATTAACTCTGGTTATACAGTGACCGTATTATGAGATTCAGTTAAGGACCCTGAAGTTTAAGGTCGATAACGGTGAACCTAACAGAGAGAAGCAGTACCACCAACTTGTGCTGATGAGGTATTTCACAGTATGAGGAGCATTACTTGTAGTCCGGTTGAGTGAGAAGGGGTTATAGACATCGACTATGGAGACGATACAGTCTTAAATGGGTTTATGGGCTGCCGAGGGACTTGACAAGTGTTATGCAGGAGTATGCTCAACTCCCGATTTCGCTGGAGTAACGTGAGTAGTTAACAAACTTCCGAATACCCAGAATGAATCCTGAGACACATAACAAAAGTGAAATATGTCGTACAGCTATTGAAACGTTCAGCTTTTACAATGTTTTTACGTCTAGCCCAAGCAACCAATAAGGGGAGAAATAAATAACTAATCACCTTGTTAGTCTTCTAAGATTAGTCTAATCAAAGTCACTGAGAGAGCTCGTAGATGTAGGGCAACCGTTAACTTGTTAAGCGTCATTAGCTGTCAAAGATCGACTTATAACAAACGCGTCCGTTATCCCACCGCGGTGGGATAAAATGCGAACAGCTTTCATGGAAACCACAATTAAAATACATAACGATTGATGCTCCAGCATCTGCCAACTACTCATAACATTGTACAGCACTTCCCCCTTTGTTCGTCTTTATTTCCCCTTTATTGGTTGTTTGAGGCGTTTGTGAAATTTGTGAGAAAAAACAAGGTAACGACTTGTTAGGCATGTGTACATGACTTACGTCTGAAGATAAAGGTAATCGATAGTGCTTAAAGAGGAACCACCATATAATTATGACAGTTCAATAATTAGACACACAAAACTGCAGTGTGACGCGTATGCTTGAAGTAACCGCGGCTAAGGATATATGACATATATGTCGAACAACTTTGTCGCACGTTAGTGGAATTGAGGGGTGACTTTAATCGCAACGCAACCATGTAAGCTTAATGTATCGCCCAGTGTAATAACGGTCATCTGTGCGTTCAAGTAACCACAGATTTTGTCATTTCATAATGCATTTTTAATTAAATAACTAGATTATGTTGTTAATTTTGCTCTGTTTTTAATTTTTTATTCGCCACGTCCGACTGCGCTACACTGTACGTTCATTGCACGCTGGAATGATATCTCAAGTCATAGTTAGTTTAATCACATCGTTTATTGTTTACAGATAGACCGTCAGTGCATGATGTTACTGAAGAAAGGTTTGTTGTACTGTAGACTATGTTTTTATGAACAACTGACTGTTGTCTTCAGTCTGAAAGCAATATATATCTATCCTTCGTCTTCTGTTAGGTAAGTTCAAATGGCCTATATTTCGTGTTTTGGTTTTATCGGCTGAATTATGTAACAAACTCATCACAGAATAACCCTCTGTATAAAAGATGTGAGGGTGAAAAACATTACTGTGTTAACCAAACAACTAGCATGTATACGAGTTCTCGAAAGTATAGAGAAAAGTATCCATTTTAATAACCATACATAAGTATGCGCCGTACTCTATCAAGCTGACGATAGCCTATAGCAATGAGCTGTTTGGTTTAATGAGATAAACATTTTTGCCCAAAATTTACATTAGTTGGGGCAACCTACATTTTAGTATAACTCCTATTTGGCGACGACCAATAAAGGGGACTAGACCTAGCGTAAGAAAACATACCGACCGCCAGAAATTCGTTAAACATATTCAGGCCCTAGACATCAAACCTTTCTCGGCAGGATTAGTCAACTATATGGTCCTTGTAATCTGCGTATGGGCGGTCGAAGATCATTAATGATGATGTGAAGGTATAATCTTCGTTGTTTTTCTTCATTAATCGGAGGGTAAAACCAAGTAGTTGTTTATGGTAAAAGTTGTAGAGGTAAATAAATCCCCAAAATATAATTCTCTAAGTCTTCGACACTGATAACAACCTCACTGGTTCTAATGGATACATCTAGCTGAAGGTACTTGGCCACGCATCCATACCAGATCACAAACGAGTACTCCGTGTTACGTGTCTCCTACAACCGTTAGCCAGCTTAGATCAAACGCTTTCCGAGACATCAATAGTTTTTAAAATATAACTCAGAACTTCCCTACTTATAATTTGACTGTTTTTTTTCATACTTCGAGTGTAAAGGTGTAACTGGTAAAAGCGTTGTCAAACGCAGAATACTTGTGGCATCTTTAAAGTAGTCATTATGTAACACCAATGGTAATCGCCCCCAGTAACTAAACATCAAGCGTTATTTTGAAAGTCTCAGTGGAAGGAACCATCACTACTGCTTCTGACGTGAAGTTAGATAATATGTTGACTCTTATCACGAAGCATCTTGCATTGACTTTTGTGCAAGATTGTTTGTATTCTATCCTAAACAGATAACCTTTTGTGGATTGTTTGGTAATGAAATGTGTTTGTAATCCGCTTGGGTTGACGGTGTTACCAGCAACACGACACATTAAGGTCATAGTCTCCTAATCCTTTTGTACTGTGCAGGTTGCTAACTTGGAGCACCCAGGCAAGGTGATTAAAGTTTTTTTAGTTTCGGGGCTTTTTGGTTGTTCGTCCCTGAATATGTTCCAAGAGAGTGATATTGCATTCAAGGAAAGGTTTAATCCAAGTGGATTTCCCAGATAAGATTCTAAGTAAACAATATAGACAGTCTCAAGCGGTATTTGGGTTAGGCTACCCTGGTGGACAGAGCGTCTTCACTGTCCACCATTAGGATTCCGCCATTCCTAAAATTTGGGAGGAAATGCCATTGACTATTCAATTCATCTTGAATAGACAACAGTTCCACATTTAATCTCTAAATATCCTACAACCGTCAGTCCATATCAGGGTTTAAGAGTATATGGTTTCAGGTCAATCGTTGATAGATTATATGAAAATGAGCGGTCCAAAGGTTAAGCTTTAACGGACTTTTTTGACATTGAAAATCAATCAGTTCGAAAGCAATCCTATCAAATACCAAATACCTTCAGCTAATTTGGTTCAGACAGAGATTTTGATGATCAGTCTTATCGAATTCATAAGAGGGGATCGAGTTTGTCCGATGAATTAATTCGCAACGCAACCATGTAAGCTTAATGTATCGCCCAGTGTAATAACGGTCATCTGTGCGTTCAAGTAACCACAGATTTTGTCATTTCATAATGCATTTTTAATTAAATAACTAGATTATGTTGTTAATTTTGCTCTGTTTTTAATTTTTTATTCGCCACGTCCGACTGCGCTACACTGTACGTTCATTGCACGCTGGAATGATATCTCAAGTCATAGTTAGTTTAATCACATCGTTTATTGTTTACAGATAGACCGTCAGTGCATGATGTTACTGAAGAAAGGTTTGTTGTACTGTAGACTATGTTTTTATGAACAACTGACTGTTGTCTTCAGTCTGAAAGCAATATATATCTATCCTTCGTCTTCTGTTAGGTAAGTTCAAATGGCCTATATTTCGTGTTTTGGTTTTATCGGCTGAATTATGTTCATTTTACTCCGTTTAGCAACATGTCTGTGCAAATGGAACAATAATTATGACACTTGCTTAGTTTAGTACTCTTGGTTGCCGTTGTAATTTAGATTAGTCGATAGAATTATAGTATACTTAAGTACAGTGCTTAAAGCCTGTAACGAAGCGGATCAGTTTAGTAAGTAGAGCTGCCTGTTTTTAGCGAGTATATTGATTCAAATCAGTCTGATTAAAAATAGGAAAAAAACGTTCCTTTGATTCTGTTGCTGTCAGATATTATAAGATAGATTTAAGTACGTTTGGTGTTTATTTGTAGACAGTACGTCTAACACTGTTCATGTTTCAAGACCACTGTCATCAAACAATTTCCCCAGCAATAACATCGGTAGCAGGATAGCTAAGTGTCTGAGCTTTTATTTGCCTGCAGAAGAGCAGTATACAGTCTTAGAAGATGAGTGTTCTGTGTCTCAATTAAATGCAGCTGGCTGTGAACAGATGTTAAGAATCTTTTTCACAACTGGGACCTTTAGTTTATCGGACACTAACTGTTGTAGCGGTAAATAAATCCCCAAAATAAATAACTCTGTAAGCTTTCGACATTGGATTCTGACCAGATTAGTTTTAGTTGACTCACCTAGCTGAAGGCGCTCGGTCATGCATCCGCACCAGACCACGTGTGGGAACGCCGTGCTCAACACCTACTGCAATCGCTAGCCAGACTAGATCAGACAATTCCGACATATTGGCAATCGTCAAATACAACTTCTGATCTCCTCGATTCTGTCTTTTGATTTCTCATGGTGGGTACGAGTTACATTAGGTGTTGCTGGTAAAAGCGTTGTCAAACACTGAATACCTGTGCCATCTTCACTCTGCTTATATGTCTTCCTGTTAAACTAGACTCAGATGCATGGGGATACTTAAATGAGAGTAAAATAATAAAAGCATTGCGATACGGTACTAAGTCCATGTTATGCTTTGCACAAGTAATAGTAGCTGACCTGATCTAATATTCATGAACTCAAGGTAAATCACAACTGCATAAATTCTTTGCTAAAAAATATGTAATTTGGTTATTTATCTATTCCACATTTCGGACTAAATTCACTACTATTTTCTCATTTAGAATGCAACAGGAGTGAGCCTTCACAGATCCTAAGAACCGTTTCGCCTTCAGAACTATGGCCCTATGAAACTGTTTACGGGAGACCCAACTAACAGCAGATTATAAAAAGAATGCTGGATGTCCATTTTAGTCTCACAACCACTTCCAGTACTTTTTGAGTTACTTCTTTTACCCTTTCGTTTGGAAAAAACAACAAAGACTGCCGCCCAACATTACCAGTGTAACTTTTAGACGGGGACTTCGTTTAAATTTTTGTTTGATATTCGATTAATAATGAAAGTTCCTGAATAAATTTTTAAATCTAATGCTACTTTGTTTTGTCTAATTAATCGTTGCAAGAAACTTGTGATATACGAGCCTCTCACCATCTAGGTCACATGTAGTAAATTTAAGTAATTTAGTACATATCTTCGTCATTTTCTTGGGAAACCTACAGACTCGGGTCCCCTCATAACATATTCTAACCACCATGAGTTGTCACGGCAGCTGATGGATGGACACGCGTTACACATCTTAACCGTACCCGCGTCTAATCCTATAGCTCCTTATTCAAATGTCATATGATAAACAACCAATACCCCTACCCACACCAATGGAACACTAGTAACTCAAAGGCACCCTGTATGGTACCTTACATTGGTTTACGCACTCGCTTAGCTCTTTAGTGAGAATAGTGCTACAGTCCTGCTAAAAATCCCATGAACCCCCCTATCTCCATGAAAACAAATAAGTCTGTATTTGCTGAATATAGCAATTTAATTTTTCAGAATTAAGATATAACAGTTAGAATTGGAGTAAAATGGCAATATACAGTAGATGCACGTGGTACATGTCTTCATCGATTAACTGAAATAGAGAATACGGATATTAGCTTAACAGGCTTATTTAGAAAGACTAGTGTCTACTTTGAACTTACTGCGTGAGAAATTTATACCGGAACTACGAATAATGTGGGAATCCAGTTTCCCAGGGCGTACGAAGCACTCAAACTGGAAGACAGTTGTCCAAAAATAATTCGAATATGAAGGTGAAAATTTGCAGGTACTTTTCATCGTAAGGGTGAACATATTAGGTACCGGTTAACATCATACCTTAAAAAACACAAATTTGCGAGTGGTGAGATATGATATATAAAAAAGTGAGCTTAATAACAGTTAATTACCTTTTTACTCCCTGATCATAACCCTTCGGCTTCCTTTGATCGCCAAAACAGCAAACATGCACTACACACTGATAGCAGATTTCCGGCTTTTCAATGTTAAGCTTGCTTTAACGCACGACGTATTGAATACAACCCCTCTATTACTGCTATATGACATATTTTTCATAACAAACCCTCTGCAATACATTGGTAGCATCTGTGACTTCATCTATGATTATCGGAAGTCTGAGTCCTTTCGTAAACAATACTGATATCCCCTACTGCTATGCACTCAGTATTAATTTGACTCGTTGGTGGGATAGTGTTGTCCATAGTACTGAAGAAAATTGAAAACTGGAGATTGTTTCCTTTCATTTTGCCGATAACATCATAAAGGACAGTTAGGAACGAACATGCGGACAGTTAGTCACAGGCGGCAGCAACAATTATTTTAGCTAAAAAAACGAGTTTCGTCTTTGGACATCTAGAAAACAAGTCAAAACAAAACCTATAAGACTAGCCAGCTTGGCTGAAGAAATACATTGACTTCAGGGGTAGCAGCCAAAACTCAGAAAACAAAGCAAAATCAGGAAAAACTTTGCTCCAGCATTCAGAGTATTACATTAACTTCTGCATTTTAGCACACTGAAACATTAAATTTTGTAGCTACACAAAAGAAATAACCGAAAAAAGAACAGAACGAAGAAAGCCGACCGCCTTTGCTTAAAAAGATGGCGGACATAGTAGTTCCGGCCTCATTCTGGTTGGTTGCTAAACTGAAGTCCACATTTGCAAAATTGAGTTGCGTTTAATTGCAGCCGGAATCGCGCTTTAACATTATTGTGCGGTCCTGGGATTTTGTTAAAGTAATCCCAACTAAATCTCCAGAGAAAACAGTTTTTTAAGTCGTCAAGATGATACTGACTTCATTAGTTCCAATGGACACAGTGCTAGCTGAT